AAATGTTTAAATCAAGAATTAGAAGTATTCCTATAATAGAAGAAAAACATAAGTAAACTGGCAAGAATAACGTTTACTGTCAAGAATTAGAAGTATTCCTATATGAAAAAACAAAACAAATATAACTACACTGGAAAAATAAACGTTTATAGTCATGACTTAAGTTTTTCTAAGTGAAAAATGTTGTCATTCCGTGACGAGATTGACAAAACATATGCTTACGGTTAAGAATTACGAATATTTATTTGAAAAACTTCTACTAGACTAACAAGAGAATGCGTTTACGATTAAAAGTTACAAGTACTTACTTCTGAAAAGAAATTATTTTTTCGTTTCTAGATTGGCAAAAAAATTAAGCTTTCTGTCGAGAATTAGGAACATTTCTATATGAACAACTTGATTAGATTTATAAAACGTTAAGAACTGGTAGTATCCAAACATATTATTCTCGACAAGACTGGGAAAGAATTATGATTATGGTAAATAAATAGAAGTTTTTCTACCTGAAGAACAGCAAGATTATACATTAAGAATTAAGAGTATTTCTGTCTGAAAATTGTTATTTCATAAGCAAATTGGATAGAGTATATAATTACGATCAAGAAATATTTCCATCTGACAAGTATTGGCTAAAGTATTAAGAGTATAGTTTTGTATGAAAAATGTTATTTCATAAACAAATTGGATAGAGTATATAATTACGATCAAGAAATATTTCCATCTGACAAGTATTGGCTAAAGTATTAAGAGTATAGTTTTGTATAAAAAATGTTATCATTCCTTGAACAGGATGGCAAGAACTTAAGTTTACATCGGGAATTAAAAGTATTCTTTTATGAAAAATAACTTTACTAGAATGGGAAGAGGGTTAAAAATTAGGAGTGCAGTTTTGTTTGAAAAACATTAGTACCTTGAACAAGCTGACAAGAAGTATTTCTAGCTGAAAAGTTGCTATTATTCCTTAACTAGACTGGCGAAATTACGTGTTTGTGGTCTTGAATTAGGGGTATATTAACTGAAATATATTATTGCCGAGAAAGTTACTTCACATATAGGACCTTTGACCATAGTAACAGCAATAATAATTTGCGCTCAAATAACTGGTGGCTATCAAGGATCGTCGCAGAGACGTCTGTTATTGCAAATCTTTGACTGAAAGCATCGTATGTGGCGATCATAGCACTACAGCTGGAACGGTTAACGACATCACAGAAACACCTGTGAGTAGGTGTAGGACTTCCATTGATCTTACTGTTTTATAGAAAGACTGTAAAAATGATTGCATTTAGTGTTATAGGGTAATAGAAAATATCAAAATGGAAAAGAACGTTAAAGTAAAATAAGAAAATACAAAGACATTAATCTCAGAGACAAAAGAAATAACACAAACGAAATAAGATCGTTTATGTGTGCTTGAAGAACATCGCTGAATGAAAGAATATTAGGCTAAGACACTCAAATATACCGGTACAGGAAACTTAAGGTTTAGTCATTTTTCTATAAGCCGGCAAACTTTTTTATCATATTATTTCAATACAAATAAAAATGATAATAAACTAGAAAAATACACTTCATTTTCTTATTTTTTTACTTTACTGTTACTTTCCCTTAAGACGATATGCTATTCATTATTTTCATGATTTTTTAAACTTTTACTGTTTTTTTTGGATGTCATTTTCACTCTTTCATTTTCATTCTTTATGACTTTTCAATAATAATCAATTATTAGCTGTATATTTCTACTATTATGACAGTATCAAATACAAAATCAAGATGGTTACTGGATTGGATTGTTAAACAGATGTAATGGATCATTGACGATATTGTGTACAATGGTGCATAATTAAATTATTTTTATAATCAAGTTAAGCATTAAAAAATACCATACAATTACTTTTACGACGTATAGACTATTTTACCGAAAAACCTGTATTTTTAAGCATACACGAATATTTATCAGCATTTTTAATAAAAATAAAAGTTTAAGCGTTTTCTTCATTTAAGAATGTTATATTAATGTCATAAGTCTGTGCTTAAATTTATGCCTTTATTCATTCAATGGCATTTCCGTTCACTGTTGGTATATAATTGTGTTCATTTTAGCTCTGAACATTTTCTGAATGGTATATCAAGAAATACAAAATTAAGTTCAAATCCCAACTTCAATATTGTAGTTACTGTTTTTTTTTTGTTTTTTTTTCCTTTTTAAGTGAAGCCTTTCTGTCATACAAAAATTGTAAGAAACGACATTATGTCGGAATTCGACAACTCATTCTGTAAAATGTTGCTCTTTGCGAGTATATACGGTATATTGTAAAAAAAAAAAAAAGATAGCAAATTATGATTTGCACATCTAAACATTGAGAATAATACTCAAATAGCGATAGCCTTTACAGAAGCAATAAAAGGATAAATACTTTCTATTGCTTCATTCATCGTTTGTTTGTTAAACTGATAGCTAATCCTTTACTAAACAAAATCCTATATTTTGTACTAAAAATGTGAGAAACTGAAGCCTTTCCACGTCGAAGTGATAATTGAAACTTACCGGTGTAATACTTGTTTCCAACATTGATCTTCACATTATTAATGGACTGCGACTCCATGGTGGAAGACTAGCAGAGAAATGTGCGAACTTCGCCCCAAATTCAGTTGTTGGTTGTAGCTAGGATTATCAATGTATGCTTCAAATATCTGTATATTCGCTCACAGTAGAACATTTTACCTTTTTATAATGTTTGGAATGTTGCCATCATTCTGTTTGGCCAATCACACTTTCTGTAATCTCGCGCACGATTCAGTCCAGCTGAGTGTGACGTCACACTCAAGTAATCACGACCTGACTTTTCCACTCCTTCTTCTCTGAAAGAAATGTTAATTAATGGTACAATAAATTTTTCTTAAAAATTGTGTCTGATAAAACTCTTTTGTCAGTTGCAAAATTAAAGCAAATGCTACCCTAACCAACATGCAAGAATAAAAGAAAATAAGATCATGCAATTCGTGTTGTTTGAAAAGTCAGGAGCCATGTTCAACTAATAGTCATCATAAAAAATTATACATCGAAACTATAACAATATTATAAAATAAATAAATAACGAAAGTTCGTTTTTGTTATTAAGCGCAGTGGAATATCTGCGCTCGTGGGTATCGAACCATAAATTTTAGTGTTACAAGTCCTCTAACTTACGGCTGAGTTATTGGGAAGGAACAACGAAAGACCCTCGCTAATACAGTGAAAGACAAAAACAAATAATTATACATGTATCTATTTATGCGTTGTGTTATATATGTGTGAAAATAAAAGTTAAATCTGTATGTTCTATTTTTAACAACAAATTTTTGTTTTAAACAAGTTAGAATTCCTTAAATTTTAACTATAAATTTAACGAAAAATAAGTTTTAGATTCAAATTCATGCTTATAGGGATATAAAGTATCATAGACATGTCTTATTCAAGTTATTGTATCGTTTTTCCATGAATTATGATGGAAAGATTGGATCACCATAAGAAATGATTCGGACTGGTCTGAATCTCATCACACCTTAATTTGTATGAACATGCTCAGGCTTCTATCTGATTAGACCTGATTTTAGTTTTTTATAAACATGGTTAGATCTAAAAAGGTTTCTTTATGCTCAGATTCAAACTCCGTCGGATATACAGATATTTCTTTTACCTCGGACTTCGATAGGCAGAGATTTAAACCTGAAGAAGTTTAAATGACTCGAGCTTAAAAAATTATGCCCGAACTCATCTTTAATCATTGCAGTAGGCTTCTCAGTCGTGGGTTGTATTATCTATTTATCTATATATTCGAGAAGTATCAACATTAATGAAAACTTCACAATAACGTTTTTAACTAGAACTAATTAATCATTAGTATAGCTTCAGCTATGAATCGGTCTCCCTTCCCCCCAAAAAAATCATTGTCGACTGGAATCTAACCAAGATTGCAGTTAAGCATTTTTGAGCGTTCTTCTAACTTATAGTACCAAATCCGCGAATAAAAATGGTTTCGAAGAGGGTGTAAATTCTGCAAAAAATGTTATATTTGCTTGCATTTATTAACGTTTGTCTGATTGTCAAACGTACGTGTGTGTGAATTTTTCACATATATATATCTTTAAAGCAAGAATAATAGAAATTTTACAATAAAATTAGCATGTTTTACTTTTTTCTTCGGAATTGTTGTGCAAGGATACAAAACGGCTATGTGAGCATGGCCGTCCCTAATTTCTAACTGATAGACTAGAGCAGTGGTTCTCAAACTATGGTGGGTCGCAATAGGTACCGGGGTGAATTGCAAGCAAGACACATTAAAACACGAGTATATATTTATTATAAGATTAATTACAAAAATAATAATTTTAAAATATTTATAAAGAAACAAAAAACAAAAATATAGAAATACTATTTGTTTGTTTGTTTTGAATTTCGCGCAAAGCTACACGAGGGCTATCTGCGCAAGCCGTCCGTAATTTAACAGTGTAAGACTAGAGGGAAGGCAGCTAGTCATCACCACCCATTGCCAACTCTTGGGCTTCTCTTTTACCAACGAACAGTGGGATTGACCGACACATTATAACGCCTCTACGGCTGAAAGGGCGAGCATGTTTGGTTGGACGGGGATTCTAATCCTCGACCAATACTATTTGAATTTACTGAAATGTATTAGTATAGTAACCCCCTCCTTCCCTTTCCAAGTGAGCAAGGATTCCAACAAATTGCTTGGCTAATCGGGTGGGTCGTGATTTGGGATTCCCTGTACTAGAGGGAAGGCAGCTCATCAAAAGTGCCCACCGACAACTCTTAATCTACTCTTGTCTGACTGAGTAGTGAATTTAACTGCTATTCTTATAACATACCTACAACCTCAAAATGCGAAGCGCGTTTTATTGGCATCAGTCCTTGGATTTGCATTCCAGGCAAGCTAATCGCACCGAATGCTTAAATATAATGTATTTTAAAAACAAATTTTTTATATATTATTCTAATATAAAAAGAACTGTTTTGTATAGTTAATCGGAGTAGGAGCACATTGATAAAATATCATTACTCTGTGATATTAAATATTTCAAACCAATACACGCTTCAATAATGTCCAAGGTTTTAGTTAAAAATCAATATCAAAATGAAAGTCTTACAATAAATTTCTGGTTTCCTCTAAATATTACCCATACATGGAAAAGAAATACTCGTGGCAGGGATAGTCTGTGCTGCTTAGGTTTCAGCCAGATGCTTTCTACACTTGAATTAAACCAGTTATTAATCATTCAATAGAAAGTGCATGAGAGACTGCCGTACGGTTAACTCAGGCGTTTTACAACTGTTTATAATAAATGTTTCATGGTCCAAAGGACCTTACATTTTAATTATCCAATAAATTAAATTTCTAAATATAACGGAATTTGATCGTTTGCGCTAGCCTAGGTGTTTATAACGTACACAGAATATTTTCATCGTGTTCTATCAAATTTTGATGATACTCTATAAACTGAATTTCACCAAATGCGACGAAAAAATAAAACGACCAAAAGTTCATGCTTCATTAACATGGTAACATCTAGTTCATGATAATATACTTTAATCCCAGCAGATAATGAACTTCCTTTAAATTCGTGTACCTTGTGAGCTTGAAAATATTCCCAAAATCTAAGGTTTCAAGTTGTTTTTTTCATGTAACAGTGATGTATTTCTGTCCAAAATGAAAATATTTTCCGTCTTGATAAACAGAGGAAAAACAAATTAATTTCTTGTTACACCTTTTTATTTTTTGTACTTGAATTGTTTTGTATAAATCATTTGTCAGCTGGTGTGTTCCTAATGATTCTTTTAATTCATTTGCAGAATAAAGTTTACCACCACTAACTGTGGGGAATGTTTCATAAAAACGTTCTACTATTAGATATAGTATGTTTGCAGATACTGTTGTTTTTCAGAAGGGAGATTTATGACAAATTTGTAATACTTAATTATAACATGCTGTAATAATAATAATTAATGAGTTATGTAATATAAAAAAACAACATGTAAAATATATAATTTCGGTGAACAAAAGTTTACGTTTACCTTAAAAAATTGGTATTTTGGTTCCCGAGAAATGATATGGAAAATTTTATCAGCATAATGTTATCTGCATCAAGAAATTATTGTTTTTCTTATATTAAAGAAATGAAGAGCCTGTTATATAAACTGTTAAAAATGTAATTCAAAAATATACATGTTTGTACAAAATATCTTGAAATCACACAACGCATTACGCCTTCATCAACCCTCGATACAAGGAGACTCCTTCTGCTTTACACATTCCATACATCATATTAAGGCCCGGCATGGCCAGGTAGTTAGGGCGCTCGACTCGCAATCTGGGGGTCGTGGGTTCGAATCCCCGTCACAACATACATGCTCGCCCTTTCAGCCGTAGGGGCGTTATAAT